AACTATAAACACTCACGTTTCTTCAATGACGCACATCATAAAGTTCTGTCAAACTCTGAAGTAATCACACCACATCTTCCTGTCATCTGATAGGATTCAGTCAAACTGCCTTCTCTGAGGATGCTGTGATTGCAATCCTAACAGTTTGTTGGCTTTAACTCTCGAAACTGGCGACTGAGCATCACGATGCGCACCTGCCTTTCTCTCTGTTCCTCTTTCATTACTGTGTTGAACACTTTCACTTTATTCATTAAACTCGCGAGCGGACCTTTTAACCACGCCCACATAATAACAAAACAGGTAAAGACTAAATGTACAGTTAGAAAACAAAATAATTAAACAATCTTTTATACAGGGGACGTAATATAAAGGGACATAACTTGTAGTCAGGTTCCCATTTAATTGTGCTAGATGTCACAATAAGATGCTGTTGGCAAGATGGCAAGAATACTTACCAGAAAACATTTTCAGCAAATGTTTTATGAGTTTTCTCCAAATTTATCCACAATCAGTTCATTAGATATATTATATTAGTCGTTTTAGCAACTCTACTCGCTCACTTCTTCATCTGTTTTGTCATGACAGTTACCCTACTTGGCATCGCCCCCTGTGGCTGAAAATAATGGTACAATGTCGAGTGTATAAAAGCCTCCACAACTTGTGGCTGCACATTATTAACTCTAATGGTTGGGTTTAGGCTTGGGAAAGGTGTAGACGTTAATAACTTTGATGGTTGGGTTTAGGTTTGGGGTAGGTGTAAACAATAACTATGATGGTTGGGTCTGGGGTAGGTGTAGATGTAGATGTTAATAACTATGATGGTTGTGTTCAGGGTTGGGGTAGGTGTATGTTAATAACTGTGATGGGTACAGCGCCATCTTGCCAACAGCATAATTTTGACATGTGAGTCTTGACAACTTCTAGTTATGCCTATACTACAAGTATCGCCCACTTCATGTTTGCAGTCGGCAGACAGAAACTACCCTTTTTCTGAGTCATAGTCTTTAAAGAATGTCAGGCAAACATGACATGGCTGACAGAAACATGGGGACAATTGTAAAATAGTATTTATTTGTAGAATATATTCATAATTTCATGTTTTTAATCAACTGATGTGAATTAAAACAGTTTAAACTTGTTTTTCTTAAGTATTTTTTTCTAAATAACAGTTTTTAGCATAACAAAACTATTAAAGCTGTTGGTTCAATTGGGCTGAGGACAAGGACAATGAAGGAATTTGTAAATTTGTAATGTGTTTTTAATAAAGAAAACCAATCTGAGAACCAAATGAATTACATATTCCAATCATCAGTCTATCTTAGACACTTTTTGGGATGAAATACTTTGTATTCACAGTCACAGTCTGTGTTTATGTTTTTTATTTCAAGGACAGATAATGCACGTGTCTAGTAGAATGTCCCATTAAATTAATTTTAATTGAAGATGTTGTGGGCTCGTTTACAGACACAGTCTGTAAAACACAACTTTAATGATAATAAAAATAAAATATTTGACTTCACTACTTATCCCCTGATTAGAGTATCATTTAAATAATAGTTTAAGTCAACAAACAAAACACTGAATCAAAGATGGGCAAGATGTATCCATTATTAAGTAAATATAAAATCTTAATTTACCTTTGTAAAGAATTCTCATCGCTTGGCATTTCTCTGTCCGCTGCTGGCCACCGTAGCTCCTCTGTGGGGAGTGGTGAGCGGAGGAGTCCAGTGGTTGCAATTCGCAGTGTGACCGCGAGGTGCCACTAAAATCTAACAAAAGAGAGACGCACAGCTATTGGCCAACCGCAGAAACAATAACCAGATAATAGCCAATCAACAACATCTTAAAAGCGCATGGTATCCCTAATGTAGACTTCTCTTCATCTTCCAACTTAAAAAAGCTTTAGTAATTAGTTTTGTGGTTTTCATAGATGTAATTTTACCGAAGCTGTTTTAATAAAGCAAATACTTTATTTAGAAGTAGTTTAAAAAGAAAGATAGCAAAATAAAGACTACGCGCCAATAAAGTATAGAAATTTGTGGCTTGTGGAGTAGAAAGTCGTCACCGGTGACGTTTAGAAGGACCGCTCATGGTCGTGGTTTCAACTAGGTCCTATAGCCAAGCATAAACACTTTTTCTGCATTAAAAGCGAAATATCACAGAATACTTTTGTTTATTCTACACATGCTTTTATTACGAGAACGAGTTTCCAGGTGTTTAAATATGCATATCATCAGGCGTGAAAATACATTAAGCATAGGGTTAAAGAAACCAATGCAATCTTGGCATTTTTAAAGCAGTCAGAATTATGAACAGTTTACAATTATAATTTTGCAATTATACAATTACATTACAAGAATTCTAGAGTCTAGAAGAGAAAGTACACTTTACAGCTTTTGCGGTGTTTTTTTTTTTTTTTCTAAAAAATGAAAAATGCGGAGAAATAAAGGATTGGAGGTCGGCGGGTGGTAGCTGTTGATGGGCGGGGTTAACGTTGTAAAGCCTTTTATTGGCTGTTCTGCGAAAGAAGAAAGGTTTTGTCCAATGAACTCATTTTTTGGGCGGGGTCATGAAAACACCCAATCCTAATCAGCAGCTAGTCCTCTCTCAAATTAGCATAACGACATTAAGATAAGAATTTTCATATACTTGTTAAACAATTCTTTAACCAGCGAAATCCGCATCAAGGAAGAACGCCGGTAAAGGAGGAAAGAAACGCAAGAGGACCAGTAAGAAGAGCTTACTACGTCTACAAAGTGCTGAAGCAGGTTCATCCTGATTTGAAAACATGTCCTCTTAATTTTAACCTATTTTTGATAAAACTTAAAAATAAAAGTTTCATTTTTAAAGAATGGTGGTCTTAATTAGACTTCACCTCTATGAACCACACCTTTAAGGTTAATTTGATTAAACACCATTTAAAAATACCAGTCCTATCTGAAATTTTATCCCTCATGTTTTTTTCAAATACTGGTGGTCTTCATTTTATTTTGATATGCAGTTATAATATAGACGAAACCCCAGTTAAATTATCTGCCTTCAACAGACAAACGCTCATATCATGGTAATTAATATATAAGCATAATTTTTCCCCACATCGCTATTTCATCTAGAATAATAGACACATTTTATATAAGCACAAATCTCTCTTTTTTATTGGTTTGAAAACAAAATTAATCTAGTTAGTCAGTTATATAATAAAGAAGCTTAATCTTTTCTTACAATGAATTCCTCTCCTATTACAAAATCTCAATTACCCAACAAGAGTTTTCAACTGTTATTAGTTCAATTCCTCCAGGGGTCCATATGTTATTTAGAGGTATTAATCAAGACCATGCTTATCATATCATCTTTTGATATCACTAAATCTTGTGTTGGCAAAACCTGTTTTACTGTAAATACCAAGCGTAATAATAGAGCTATCCGTACCCTTGTCCAAAGAGAAATTATTACTGTACCTTATATTCAGTCTTATTGGATGTCTTTATGAAAGGATCAACTGATTTTCTGGAAAAGGTGTGGCTGTTACCACAGAAATACATGTTAGAAATAAAATTAAAGAAATATCCTATAAACTTCTCCACAGACTTTATCCAGCAATTGATGTGAATTTTATTTTTTGTAATGAATATGAAAAGACTGCTTTACTCATACTCAATCAAATTTTGAGGTGCAAAAATTTATTAATAACAAATTACAGTCTTCTAAACCGCTTTTACTTACTTTTGGCTTTACTGTGTTCCCTAGTCAAGAGGAAAAATTGTTTTTATGTAATTAATTTTTTTTAGTTTGCTATTGATTATTTGTAAATGTAAATTTACCAATAAGAAACTGAATTTTAAGGTATTGATGACGGAATTATGCTTATATTAGTAGTACTAGAGACTCTATAAATAAAAAAAAGACACTTTAAATTCTGTGTGAATTCTTCAATGTGTTTATTTCATTTTTTCATAAGTACATTTTGTATATTTGTTTTATGCTAACTCCTGTCACGTATATTTTTTGTACCATTAAAAAGTTGTTACAATTAAAAAAAAAACACAGTGTGTCTGCTGCTGCCCGGGGAGCTGGTTAAACATGCCATGTCTCAGGGCACAAAGGCCGACATCAAGTACACCCCAGCTCCAGGTAAAGCGCTGGATCAAATGCTCCTCTGAGAGCCACCCATACTGTCTCTGAAAGATTTTTAACTTCTACGTCTTTTGTAACACTGCATTCTTTCATCCGAATGTAGCTGATATAAAATATGTGTTGTGTTTTGGTGATCGAGCTGACATGAAAATAAGTGGATTCAGAATAGATACATAAGTGCAGGGGGTGTCCAAACTCGGTTCTGGGAGGCCATGCAGTGTCCTAGAGAGTTTAGCTCCAACTTGCTTCAACACACCTGCCAGGCCGTTTCTAGTATATCTAATAAGAGCTGGATTAGCTGGTTCAGGTGTGTTTGATTAAGATTGAAGCTAAACTCTCCGCAGAACACTGGCTCTCCAGGACTGAGTTTGCACACCCCTGGTGTAGTGGATCTGTACAATATTATTTGTAGAGTAAATTTGTTTTACTGAAGGTGTGTGATAGATCCACTGAAGCATAGTTCCCCAAAGAATGATTAAATTGGTTTTGCATCAACATGTAAAAGTTAAAAGGAGATAAATGGAAGTCAGTGGCTGAAGATTTTCAGCTTCTTCAGCTAATTTTCTGTACAACAGAAGACAGTCAAACTGGTCTGGAACAAGTGTATGATGAGAGAACTTAATGACAGAATCACTAAAATCAGCTTCTGAATCCATCAGTTCATTACAGCTGAAACATGACCACACTGTTCATGCATTAGATGATGGTTTACAAATGATCACACAAATGTAAATAAAATTAAGAATATTTTATTACACACACTAATGTAAACAAAAGAATCTAGACAAACAAACTGTTCACAACACATAACCAGTAAAATACAAAAATAAAAACTATTAATTTACTATTAAATAGCTACAAAGACAACACAAAAATACATTCAGCATTTAAAGACTAATAAAGCACTAATGACACTATCAAAATATGTGCAATCTTTCTTGAAATGTTGTAAATCGTTACATGATGTAAATTCAACATTGCAGGAATAACAGTATTGAAGATCAACATTCAGAATCTTTAGATGATAAACATGTTCAAATCAGACTTAAGTTTATTCCTCTGCTACAGCGTTCTGACTTTGCTCTTTAGCAGATTGAGCTGTGAAATAAACACAATATACTTATGTTAAGATTGGAGAAATCAGAGTTTGGGAGACGGATCAGACAGAAGTTTTACCTCTCGCCTTGTAGATTTTGTAGAGCAACACGACTGTCGCTGACAGATACGGACAAACAGTCAGAAGAAAACTGACAATCTTACAGGCAGAAATCTGAGCTGCTGAATCTGATGATGGAAAAGAGAAACACAAACAAATCACTGAACAATATACAGCTATATTAAAGGTCATTTGGAGATTAATATAATACACTGACAACAAAGAGCCAGACTTGTAAATAATAATTAAGTGTCTTATACAATAAACACCAGAGAGAGTGGCAGAACTGCAGTGAGTCTCACCTCTGACTGAGATCCAGCTGTGCGGTGACTCTATGCTCTTTGTTTTACAGTAGTAGAAACCCTCATCAGACTTTGAGACAGTAGGGATGCTCATCTCTCCTGTCATCTGATTCTGGATCAGTGATCCGTCTTTATAGAAATCAGCTGTGAGGATGGAGGAGATTGTAGATCGATGTAAACAGTGTAGAGTCAGAGTTTCTCCCTCAATCACAGGATCAGCAGAACTCTCCAGAATCACAGCACCATCTACACAACACAACACAACACAACACAACACAGTTTAGTCATAATATATAACTATTTACCTCTGCAGTCTCAAGAATTTATAACCTTCTTGAGCCCCTATAGACAACACATGCTTTAAACACAAATGAGAATGAGAAAACAGTGAGATGAGAATGTGTGTGTGTAATTGAGATGTGAATGTGTGTAGATGTTGTGATCTTAGTAACAGGACTCACCATGTACAGTGATGTTCAGAGGATGCCGTTTCTCTCCAGATTCAGACTCACACCAGTAAACTCCAGTGTCAGATGTGCTGAGAGACTGGATTCCACATGTAGATCCTGTTTGTGCTGAACAATCTTGTGTGTTTGTGTGTGTGAATCTTCTCACGGTCCATTCAGCAGAGTCACAGCTCAGAGAGAGAGAGTCAGAGGAGAAGTGTTGACTTCTGCTGGGCCTGAGCACCAGACGCACTGAAGCAGAAACACCTGAGACAGAGAGCAAACGCAGACAAATATACTGCTGCTGTCACTGACATAAACCTACTGGCACATTCGAGATCAACAACAGCTCTGACAGCTGCTGAAAGCTGATTTCCCTCACCAGTGACCCACAGTGGCTGTGCGCTGCTGTTCTGTGAGGAATAGGCTGGTTCTCCTCTCTCTGCTCTGCACGTATAAACTCCTGTGTGCTGTAGAGCAGCAGGACTGAGAGTGTAAGAGCCTCCAGCTCCTCTGCTGCTGTCTGACAGATGATCAGCATCTCTGAACCAGCTGAACGTCCAGCCTGTAGAGGAGCCTGGAACCTCACAGATCAGAGTCACCGAGTGTCCTTCAGTGAGCCACGGCTGTGGAGACACTCGCACTGCTGCCTGAGCTTCATCTGAACCAAACATGAGGAGTTACAGAGCCATAGAGGAGCAGATACAGACTCTGATAATACTGAACACACACACACACACACACACACTCACCTGAAGACACAGTCAGAGCAACAGCATCACTGCGCTGAGAGCTTTGATTGCCCATCTGTCCTGTACAGCTGTATTTACCATGGTGAAAGACCTCAACGCGGCTGATCTTCAACTTTTGTGTTGAGGTTTGGCTCACAGTGTTGTTATGTTGGTTAAACTGGTTATAATATTTGTTATTGTGGTTATATTGGTCTGTTTGCTCTATTTGCCATCTGTGTGTCCACTCAGTGTTTCCTCCCCACTTTATATCACATCTGAGAGTGACTGTTTCTCCTCTGAACACATGTTCATCAGGCCACACCGTCACCACAGCTTTAGGAAATCCTGTACAAACAAATTTTCAATTCAGTGTAAGATTTGATGTAGATATACAGATATATTGAATCACACTGTTTTCTCTCACCTGTAACACTGAGTGTCAGTTCATCACTGTATTGTGTGTAATAGACTGGTTTTCCTCTTCCAGCTCTACACCAGTACTGGCCTCCATCAGACACTGAATCAATCTTCATGCTGTAGGAGTTTGTTCTTGTCATCTTTATCTCAGAGTCTTGTGTGTTTTTGTACCAGTAAAAGTCCCATCCGGTGGACAGATCAGTGTTACAGGTCAAAGTCACTGTGTTTCCAGTCAGTGCAGCTCCTGCAGGATCTGATCTGAGTTCAAGCTTTGGTTTTAAATCTGAAGAAGAACAAGAACAGATTGAGATCCTCAAAGGCCAGAGTTCATCTTTTAGATAAATAGCTCAGACATTCTGTACATTTCTTGCTCTGCCTGCAGCAATAGTTGGTCTCATTCATCTGTTATTTATTCCAGAGAAAACTGATTTGACATTAAGCAGCATGAAATGACTTTTAACTGTTGAACAAATGCTTTATTAAGATGAGATTGATCTGAAGAGGAGTGCTTTGAGAATAAATGACATGGCATTTCTCAGTCAATCTCTTTCTTTCTCTTGCACAATACAGTAGTGTCACAGTGTAGCTCTACATATTGCTGTATAATGTTGGTGAACTTCCACATGTAGAAATACAGACCTGTATCTGTGTATTCATTGATTTTGTTGCTCTTCATGTGGCAATAAAACCTAAATAACAGCATCAGTGCACAATGTCCTCTGTATGATCATCACTGAAACTTCACAATACTGTAAATATTGCAATGGAAAAAAGATATGCATTTTTTACTAGTTCTTAAGCATTTGACATGTTGTTGTTGTTGTTTATCTAGTAAGAGGCTTTACCTCAGCGGTTAACAACTTGTGGTGAAATGAAGTATTATATCACATAAAAAAGTTTTTAATACACTCTGGTGTCTCTTTTTATTTACATACTTGTGTTGTTGCACTGTTTTATAAAAGCTGCATTACTCTTGTATCAGTGCAATATTGTTTAAATCAGCACAGCTGTTATAACCTTTGGTCCTCTGCCTTCAAGCCAAATCACAGCAGTGCTGATAAACAGCCATAACACACAGCTACATATCTGATAATGCTCAAACATATATCAAATTTTCAAAATATGTTTTTGCTTTCCATCTGTTATTCATTTAATTTTTTTCCGGGGTTAGTTTTCGGGAGACAGAACAAAACAGGAGATGCGTCTGAAATACCGGAGACTCCTGGGAAAAACGGGAGTGTTGGCAGGTATGACCAAAAGCCTCTTTCTGCTCTCATTGCTCCCAGTCCTGCCCACAGTTGTTACAGCTACCAAACCGACCAATCACAGAACTTGCTTTCTGCATCATCTTGAGGTGTAGTTACATGTTTTGGAGGTGCAGATCAAGGTGGTAAAGGGTACAATGCAGTAGAGGTCAGCAGCTGCACCTGACCGGATTTCTTGTGTTGCTAAAAAATATTTTCGAATAAAACGTGGTGGCGGGATGTACACTGGGAGCGATCGGGTGCGGAATAAAACCTGGCGGGAACAGGACTAAAAATTCAGTCCCGCGCAGATTTCTACAGTGCAGTGTCACACCAATTGCAGTGCCCTTCTATGGACACTTGAGGGCACTAGCTTGTTTTGTCATTTGCTCTTCTGACTATAGTATTTGTTACAGCTGTTTCTTGTTTGTTAATTTAGTTCTGTCCTTAAAAACCCTTTCGTCTTGTGTTTTAGTTGCCTTAGGAATTTGCTTGTTCCTCATGTTTGGTGTGTTTGTTTGGTGATCTAGTTTTATATTTGCTTATTTTTGGATTCCTGTTTGTTCTTGTTTGGACAAATTTTTTGTGTATGCCCTTCCAGCTGCAACCCATTACTGGGAAACAGCCATACATTCTCATTCTCACATATACACTACAGAGAATTTTAGCTTACCCAATTCATCTGTACCACATGTTTTTGGACTTGTGGGGGAAACCGGAGCACCCGGAGGAAACCCCACACAAACATGGGGAGAACATGCAAACTCCACACAGAAATGCCAACTGACCCAGCCGAGGCTCGAACAAGCGACCTTCTTGCTGTGTGGCGAGAGCGCGAGCCACTGCGCCAATACGTCATTTAATAATAATATTGAACAATAATATGGTGATCATCACTAATAGTGATAATTTAATAATTTTATAATAACAATAGTAATTTTAGCACATAAAACTGAACCACAGATGAAGTCAGGTTAAAAGTGTCGTTTTATTTTATTTTATTTTTTTACATCTAAAAGTCAATTTATTTACACTGGGAATTTAGGAATGTGTTTTAATCACACCACAATTCATAAACTTCTGAAAACAGCTGGAAAAGAATAGTTTTGTTGTATGAAATGTTGTATAAAATTAGGCAAATTATGTATGAAAAATCTCTCTTTAAAAAGCTTCAGTCCTCTGATAACAGATGTGTCTGACCCAGAAGAGTTTAATACCAGCGTTGAGCCATAAATGCTGATTCTACATGAGCACTGAACAGATCTGAATATAAATATCTCATAGTCCAGGGGTCACCAAACTAGTCCCTGGAGGGCCGTGTTTTGCACTCCAACCCTAATCAAACACACCTGAACTAGTTATTCAAGGTCTTACTATGGTATACTTATAACATCCAGGCAGGTGTGTTGAAGCAAGTTGGAGCTAAACCCTGCAGGACACCGGCCCTCCAGGGCTGAGATTGGTGACCCCTGTTATAGTCAGTAAAACCACAGCATCACCATACAACATCTAGAATATTTACATAATTTAACAGTGAAATAAAGTTTAATGTGATTATTCAGATAGGTCTATTGTAAAACTGCAAATATTCATAGTATAATGTATTTTTATATTTGACTATTTTGAACATATTATAACATTTCTTGCTGAAGTACTCACGTGTCACATTGAGATAAACAGCAGAGCTTAATTGTGATGAGTTTGGTCTTCTAGATCTCTGTCCTTTACACCAGTACTGACCCTGATTATACTCAGCAGCTTTAGTGAGAGTGAGCGTTTGAAGCTTAGACGTCTGTAACACACCGTTTCTCTGTGTGTCTTTATACCACACATATGTCCAGTCACTGTGATCCGGCTCAATCACACACTTTAGCTTGACTGTCTCTCCAGTAAATACAGCACTGGCTGGGGTCACAGTCACTCTAGATGAGGGTAAAGCTGAGAAGAAAGAAGACAAAACATCAAGTGACTCAAACGGCTCTTTTAGTTAAAATTAGGGATGCTCAAAATAATTGATTAACCGTTAACCGATAGGGTGCATTTGTAACCGATTAATGCTATCAGTTAAACGATTAAAAATATTATTTTATATATTTTTAGTTTGGCTGCATAAGGGGCCGATTGAATGCGCCTTGGGTTAAGAGGGGCATCTTTTGCACGCGGCTCATCCCAGAGCAGCAGTTTGTGTTGTCAAGACAACTACAGAGAACTTTTAAAGAGCTTGGTTTCCGCTACATTCATTCTTCAATGGCGGGGACCAAAATGCATCCCGCCACGGTTACATTACCCATTCAAAACATTCAGTCATTGTTGTTGTTTTTAATAGCGGATTATAATCGCACCAAAATGTATTAAAAGGTAAGTGAATTATAACAGCGCAAACTTTTCTGTAACCATATATAGTGCTGTGCCTATCTGTTGGCGTTACGTGCTGACTGACTGACATGTGTGCGATGCGTGAGGCCAGCAAACTCGACGAAACTTTCAGTTAAGATGAACACAGTTTCTATAGTTATACTTTATTTATAGATAAAGGTATATGGCTCTGCATACAATCACTCTATCTTGCTGGAGTTTATAGCCGTTTCACTGTACTTCTGGACGCATTAATGCCGTTCTGAAGGTTTAATCGCTGTTTTAAGTTATCCAGAGCTGTATGAATTTACAAATCTTGAATAATCACAATATTATTAAATATTACTATTGTAACAACACAGACAGCAACACTTTTGCACAATCGATACCCAGCTGATTCAGTCGTTTCATAAGAAGACCGCGCTTCTTCTCTTCTGTTTTCCTTGTCAACATAAAGGCAGTGAGGTGCCCCTTTTTGGCCCTAATGCCATTTCGGCTGATGTTGACCTGGATCTGCGTCATAAACGCAACAAATAGGCTTTACCTTTTATTTTACAGCTTATAAAGCATGTATGTATGGAAGGTAAATCCTGCCAATTTTAAATAAATCAAATAAATATTGGAAATGAAAATGAAAATCAGATTAACAATTTTATTTTAAAACACTGTTCACAAAATATCTGCCAAAATTGAAAATGAAACTAAATTATTTAATTTTCATTTTCATTTTCACTTTGACAACACATAGTCCCAGTCAAATTGATAATTAAAATGAATTTGCCAATTTAACATTTCATTTTTACTGCATTTCCACGTCAAGACTGCTAATATTAAAATAAAAAGCCAAACTGAAAAATAAAATGGAAACACAATTTTTACAAAGCGTGTTATTAATCTTCACGCTATAATAGTGACACAATTCAAATTAAAATGTAAAATTAAGCTTTCCTTTTATTGACACTTTTTCATTTTAGTTTTCATTTTCGATTTAATTTTCAACTTCAAGCTGCATGCAAAGCATATGCTAATCAGTGGGAGGGGCGTATTCAAGTAACGTCGAGTGCTTTCACAGGGCCCTAGGGCAGAAGCACGGTTTTGATGGATGGGACAGCGTGAGTTACTAGTGTAAATACAGTATAACAGAGGTAAAATGCCAAAAACTGTTAGTCAGCTTTTACGTGAAGCAGCTGCTGCATTGGTACAGCAAAAGGGAACAGGGGACACAGGAGAACCAAACGTCAAACTTCCGTCCTGCAGCAGGAGTCACGGGCTTCCTCTGTGGGCAGAGAAACTGCAGCGTAAGTGTGGTAGGCCTTGTGATGAAGTCGTATAGAATACTGTATTAGGTCTTGTGACGTTAACAACTTGTTAGTACTAAAATCTTTAAAAGAAAGCTAAATCAGCTCTGTAAAGTTGGTTTTAGGTTTCATATTCGCCAGACATTCATGCACGCAGTGTTAGGGATCATCTGCAACTTACATCGAAGTGGAAATGCAGTGAAAATGAAATGTTAAATTGGCAACTTCATTTTAATGATCAATTTGACTGGGACGATGTGTTGTCAAAGTAAAATTGAAAATGAAAATGAAATAATTTAGTTTCCTTTTCAATTTTGGCAGATATTTTGTGAACAGTGTTTTAAAATGAAATTGTTAATCCGATTTTAATTTTTATTTCCAATGTTTATTTGATTTATTTAAAATTGGCAGGATTTACCTTCCATATGTATGCACATTAATGCAATATCAAATTTAAACAACAAAACTGTTTACAAAAAGTCAACATATGAGCGCGTTGTTGTCTTTTCATCACGCAGCGTGCGCACTTAACCGCGAGGGAGAGAGAAGAAACCATATAGCAAGACATAATCTTTAAAATAATAATTTCTATTAAAGAGCCCATATTATGGGTTTTTGAAAATTCCCCTCCATGTAGTGTGTAACACAGCTCTAAGTGAAGTGAAGTATCCAGCTAAGGCTTAAATCTGTTAGTGTACAGTGTTTAAAACGGTTGATTCATCTATAAAAGAGTCGACTTATAGTGCTTCAAACGAGTCGCCTTGATACCGATTCATTAGGTGTTTCGCCATGACGTACGAATGAAACCAAGTTATTCACGTGCACGCGCAAACCCGGGAGATTTCAAACCTGAGGCCCCGCCCTCTGACGCAGAAACCCAGACACACACACACACACACACCCACAAACACACACACACACACAAACATGCCGGTCGATTGAAGTCACATTGCAGATGGATATTATATTGAGTCTCTACCCAAAGATGAAACCTCAGCATTATAACCAAGCAGTTGGAAACTTCTGGAAGCTACATGCTACAAAGAATACTTCATCTGCGTTTGTTAAAGGAAGGATCAGTAAAGAGTAACTTACTGATGGACATCAGGATGGGTTTCTTCCATTTCTCAAGTGTAAGTACGTGCGGTTAAAGTTGTTGCCTCGTTGACTCTAGCTTGCAAATGTATTTAGTTGTGATTTGTTACTTGTAACCGCGTGTACTGTATCAGGTTAACTGGCTATATTCTCTTATCGCGTGCAAAGTCACGTTAAAAACGCGACGCGTGCTGCTTTGTTTATGGAGCTCCGTGGTAACGTTAGAGGTCTGCATACCCGCGGCTGTCCCCGCGCCAGATTTCTGCGGCGCGGGAATAAATTTCTGAATAAACCGCGGGAGCGGTCGGTAACGGGTTTGATTTGGGACGGGAGCGGGCTGCCTGAGAAAGAGAAAGATATGTCTGCTTGGTGCTTGTGTGTGTGTTAGTGCGCACCCGCGCGTATGAGAGAGAGAGAGAGAGCGCGAGCGAGAGCTTTATGGTTGGTGCTGTGTGTGTGTTTATACAGACAGCTTGGCTGTCTGGACTGTATAGCTGGGTGATTTTTGGTTGTGTTCTCCCCCGCTCTTTAGCGGGATCGGGCGCGGCGGGCAGAAAACGGGGCGGGTTCTAAGCCTAAAACCTGGCGGGTGCGGGCAGAAGCGGGAGCGTTCTAGTCCGGAGGTGTGTGTGTGTGTTTTTGTGTGTGTGTGGCAGCTAAAATCCACGCCTACACTATCGAGCGTGTAGGAACTGTGAGTACTTTTTATATTGCTGATTAGCTATTGGGCATTTTACTCTCTGACTGAAGGCAGTCGACCAATCGCGACAGACTGTCATCGGTCCAATCAGCGCAGAATAGCTTCGCGCTAAGGAGGGCTTTGGGAACAAATGAATCACTGGACGATTCATACAGGAGTCGCTGGGATAATTAGGTAAAAATAAATGCAGATTATAAGACCATGAAAGTGTTTTTTGACCTTGCATGCATATTAGACTGTTGTTGGAGACCCTTACAACCAAGATATGACCCTATTTTATGTATAATATGGGCTCTTTAAAAATGTAAAAAGGTTTTGTGATTATAATAATAACAGCGGGGTATTAAATAAAGGCATATTTTCCGTGGAGCGGGCAATTTGAGGAAGTCAGCTATTTTTATTTGACGGAAGAAAAAAACATGATTGGAAAAAAAACAGCCTATGCCGGTTATTAAAAAGAATCAGTCAGTATTTTCGTTTTGTAATATAAATTAATTATTAGAGTGAAAATAATTTAGGGCAGTCCTATTTATTTTATTCATTTTATTTAGTTTATTCTGTTCTTCTGTGCTAAACACTGCAGGTGAGTGAAAATGCTGTTGTTATGTTCTATTATTAATATGCTGGCATATAAAAATAAATCAGTATTTTAAGCAATATTTAATGTGTCAGACACAAAATAGACACGTCAATTTGTTTAATATAAAATGAATAGTAATCTGACCAGTTAACCATTAATAACCGATTAATGAGCGGCGGTTGTCGCTTAGCAAAATTAACCGAAATGAGCATCCTTAGTTAAAATAATTATATCTTCATAAATTTTTCAAAAAAATATATACATTTTATCTTTATATTCTGTGAATAAATTGTATGAATTTATGATCCTCCATCTGGATGTAGCATCATCCTAAAAACTGAAGGAGTGTTCAGTGCGTTTGTTATTTAGGGTGAAGATCAACAGCAGTGAATGATTATTTTATTTAGGCCAAGTAGGTCTAGTCAATCCTGCTAACTGAGACAAAATCCTTTAGTCCTTATATCCTTGAATTAGTGACATGTTTGTGTCCTCTAGTACTGGAGTTTGGTGTAAACACAAAGCCCTTTAGTTCACAAGAGTGAATGTGCACTCTATGCTGACACAAAGCAGAAGTAACTTTAGTCTGTACAGTCAAAATTTTTGTTTTTATTTGTGTACAAAAGTATTTTCGTAGCTTGATAATATTGAACCTCTGAGGTCATGTGGTCAGTTTTATGGATGTTTTTTATTTATTTATTTATTTATTATTTTTGGACTTTGAACGAGTCGTGACCCTTGTGGTCTATGGAGGATAAGGGAACTCTCAGATTTAATCTAAAATATCTTAATTTATGTTTTGATGAATGAAGGTCTACGGGAACTTTTTTGGTGATGTTTTTCTACGTAAAGATCCTGAAGACTGAGGTGTTTTTTTAGTTTTATAAATGGTTTTGTTGTATTTGCAATTATCCACAAATAAAAATAATGCAAATGAATAAGACTCTTATCCAGTTTTTAATGTTGTCTTGCTCTTACAGTATTTGTATGACCAAATTTAAAGGTCACTGTCATCAGAAAAAAAAGAAGTAAACACATCTGATTGTATGTTGACTTCGCATAAAACAAACATATGTGTCCCTCATCTATAACCTAACTCAGTATTGTATGTCCTGCGATGTGACTGTTTTTTTCCTGAAATCTTTACAGCCAATCAGAATCCAAATGACAAAACTGTAGCACACACTTATAACAAACAGACGATCGTCTAATGACCTTAACACTAATTTAATAACTATGGGTGTGAACAGGTCTTAAAGATGCTCTCCATTATTTCTATTAAAATAACATGTGGCTCACTCAGAAGAGTACAGGGAAACTTTTCAAAATATTGATTGTAAATGTGGCAAACAGATGTGAATGTGAAGACCAACCTGATCACACTGATCACAGTGTCAGGATCACTGAACTCAATAACAAAAAAAAAGTCTTATAAGAAAAGTGCTGCATTAAATAAAACATCTAGTTTGTTTGTAGTTTGCATTGGATACATCATAAATATTTATAGTGTATAATCTAAAAAGAGATTTTAATATTAATATACAATTAATAATAATAATCAGAATAGAGTAAATACAGTAATGTGCTGAATTCAATAACTGTAGAGGTCAAGAAGACAAAAATATTAAACTCACCCGTCACTGAGAGATAAACAGCAGAGCTTGATTGTGATGAGTTTGGTCTTCCAGATCTCTGTCCTCTACACCAGTACTGACCCTGATCAGACCAATAAGCTCCTCTGATAGTGAGAGTGTCTCTGTTTACAGTGTAACGACCAGAGGACGACTGTAACTTTACACTGTTTCTGTCTTTATGCCACTCATATGTCCAGTCATTGTGATGAGACTCAATCACACACTGCAGATTGACTGTCTCTCCAGTGAATACAGCACTGTCTGGTGTCACATATAATGTAGACGTGGGTAAGGCTGTGAAGCAAAACAAAACAAAGTGAAAAATGTATTTTGGAAATTCTTCACAGTAGTGTGTTTGTGCATGATTTTATCCAATATTTTACAATCTCAAAACCTGTGAAAAAGAAAAAACACAAAGCAACAAATCTAGTTGGCTCATGTT